ATATATATGTATGTATATGTTACATTTGTATACAACAAAACTCGTATGCGGCTCATACCAAATGCCTGACCAAATGCTGCAACGCTTTGCCAAGGCAATAAAACCCAAAAAGGCCAAACAACTCAACCAAGCTTATGCATGTGTGTGTGAGGGTGCATTAGAGTGTGACCTTGTCTGTATGTGTGTGTGTGTGTGTGCACGCCTGAAGTGTGAGTTGCCAGTGAGCCGGTATAAAGCAGAGCCACAACGATGTCGGCCGGAAGCGGAAACTCGCGCACACAAGCACAAGAGCAGCGCACACAAACACACACACACCACGGAGCGACGCCCACAGCAGCAAAAGAAAAAAAAAAGAAACAAAATAAAACCCTGCAAAGACTCGTGAATTTTTCAAGCCGACTCAAGTTCGGCAAACAGCAGCAGAGGGAGAAAAATGCAAAAAAGTTAAAGCTGGTGTCAAGCTTAATTGCAAACAATTTCAATGGCCTAAGGTATATAATTTTTTTTTTTTTTTTGTTGACTTAATTTGAGCATACGTTTCACAGGTGCCTGGCACGCTCTAGCCAACTATCGGCTAAAATTGTCATGACTTTCATCTCAGCAGGAGGAGAAACTTTGAAATTTTCCATTTCGTTTTTACTGCTATCTCTCGGCTATTTTCTTATGCTCTCTCACTCTCTTTCTCCCTCTCACTTTCTCTCACGCCAACACTCTAAGTGTCTTTCTATCTGCAACTATATATCTCATGGCTGGCTTGCAGGTATGAGCTATTCAATTACTCTTAGCAAAGCAATGAGTGAAATTAAATGAAATTATGTATGGCGCGAGTTAAGTGCAAATGACTGGGAGATATCCCCGAGCAGAGGGTGAGAAATTTATGGCGAGTGAAAATGAGGTAGACAAAAAGAGGTGTTAATTGAAGGAAATAGTTAGAGAAGAGAACTAGAGGAGGAAATGCCGAGGAAGATGCAACTGGTTGCACTGTGAAGCTTAGCTCCATTGGCATTTAAGAAGAATATGTTATCTATGGTATTACTTCATTAATATTTGAATTTAAATAATGATAAACAGTAAGAAATAGCCAAATAAAAATAAATATAAAAGGGCATACGAAAACATATCAAAATGGCTGAGAAATATTTAAAAATCAGTCATAGTTGAAGCCCATAATATTATATAATGTATAAATCTTAGATTTATGAATTATTATATTTATTTCTTAGTATACAGGAGAGAGAAAACTCATAAACATAAATTTTAACTATGACTGCCAGCTTCATTGCACCTAATAATATATATATATGCCAGAGAAAATTATTTCCTATATTGACATATTGCCATCTATATTTCTTTGACAAGTTTTGCTCTGCATTGCAAGCAAACTTCAATTAATGAAGAAAACCAAACATAAGTAAACACACACACTCATTACACACACACACATACACCCACTCAACAGAGACAGGAAAAATAGCCATCAATTAGTTAAAGTACACCATCTGTAATATGGCAAAAGTAAATATTATATTAGTGGAGGCGAGCTACCACTTATGATATGGCCAAGCAAAAGTCAACATAAGCGGCAATAGCAACAAGTGCAAATTGTAGATAAATATTATGGCAGCTCACAATTTATAGAACGAACTAGATAACAAACAATCAACAGCCGCTGAATCACAAAAAACTGCCGAAAAAAAGGAAATATAAATGTTAACTTAATAAAGAATTTCTAACATGCTAACATGCAAAAAATTAAATTAAAATAATAATATGCATGCCCAATAACAAACATGTTTTTATTGCATACATTTTTTCAACATACATATACTCATTATATTTTTCTAGGTATATAATACTTGTATTATTTTTGCCTGCCACGCGCATAGCTTAGTACGCGTCCCACACGGCTTATACGCAATTTTGGTTTGCAAATATTTACGCAATTATATGTGAAAAAAAAAAAAATAACGAAGAAGAATTTATACAAAATCCTATTCATATTTGCATAATGAAACAGAACTCGCCGTGGCTTCACTGCGTTGACTTTTCCTATATTTTATTTGATTTATGCGAAATTTTTTGTTATCTGTTTATCTGCAACTATCGGGAATAACTTAATAATAATATGCTAAGCTCAATAGTAAGAATAATTTTACTTTTAAATATGGTAAATATATTTCAAAGTAAAAATAATTTTATTAAAATAATATGGACTGGCTAAAAGTATAAAAAAATATATATTAATAAAATAAAAACAATATGCAAGAATAAATTGTCGAAGCAAATATATGTATATATATTTAAGCGTAGAAAATATTTTACTTAATTATTTTAAAAATATATAAATTGAAATTAAATTGTATTAAATGAAGCCAATATACACATCTAGAGAAAACTTAGAAAAAATATTTGCTTTTAATTGAATTCTGTTTTCTTTCGCAAATGCACAGCTCCCATTAAATTATTGAAGACAAAAGCCACTCAGATGGACTGTGAAAATCGCTTTACTTAATCCAAATGACAGATTATCGAATTGGGTGTCGTTTTTGTGACACAAATGTCCGCGCTGGAGGCGTCACAGAAGCGTCCGGCGGGGCAGGTGCCATTCTCAGTGGTGGGCGTTGTGGCGCCAAAACAAAAGGCGAATGTGGTACGTGAGGTGCAGGCAAAAACATTGTTCGCATTGCAACGGCCGCAGCTGTCGGTGTCGCCGCAGCTGGCTGGCGTTTCGGAGCGTTGAAAACAGATTTGCGGCTTATCCGTGCAGACCAGGCCGTCGGGGCAATTGAAGATTTGAGCCTGGCTGGGCGTCTCCTGGCCAAAGCACATCCGGTATGCAGTCTGATTGATGCAGGCCACATCGTTGCTCGGCTGGCACAAATTACAGCTGCTGTTGGCCAGCTGCAATTGCCAGCCGAAGACAGCCAAGGCTGTCAGCTGTTGATGAGTGTGCGGTTATTGTTTTGTTGTGCCAAATATTACGTATACGCCCAGCACTTACCACACACAAATAGCCCTTCATCATAGCGCGAAACTCTGCGAATTACAATTGAATACGAAACTCCACGCGCGGCTCGTTTTTGTATGTTTCTCGACTAGGCAACACCTTGACATAAATGGAATTTATCTCT